CTGTGCGTACCTGCCTCATTGCTATTTGTGTGCTCCGTTGTGCCAGCTTTATGGGTTCCACATCTCCCCATTTTTTCTCCCTGACGCAAGCAGTGATATTATACTTTGTCATTTGCCTGGGAACAAATTAAGGGTGCTGGGTCAAAGGGAATGACAGGATTATAACAGAGGAGCGGATAGCTCAGCAAGGCTCCAAGAAGAGTATATTCCTTCAAATCCCTGGCCCAACATGGCCCCACTTGTGTTCTTCCTTATCCCCAGTGCAACAGTGGGTGCTCAGACCCCCCTGGCTAGCTACACTTTGCAGGTCAGGTCCCAGCATGGGATATGCAGCAGTGCTGCACATCTAGCATGCAATGCAAAACTGGCTGCAAGCCAAGGGCCCGATCTGGTGTGCCTGCTGGTGCATGACGATTTGGTGTGCTTTGTGAGCTTTTGTCAAGCTCTGATCTTTGCAGAGGTGGAGGGGAAATTGGCCTTTGTCACTGAGGAAGTATCTCAGAGCTGCTTGAAAGAGGCACCATTGCACAGAGGGCTTTACATTGATCTGGTGTGCCTGGTGCATGACGATTTGGTGTGCTGTGAGAGCTTTCGTCAAGCTCTGATCTTTGCAGAGGTGGGGGGGAAGTTGGCTTCTGTCACTGAGAAAGTATCTCAGAGCTGCTTGAAAGAAGGCACCATTGCACAGAGGGCTTTACATGCACTGATACAAAGGGAGAGGGAAAGGGGGAACATGATTCCAGAGGGAAAAGGCAAACGAACGCCAGAGCCGTGTGGGGTTTCGGAGCATTTCCCCTGCCTGGCTGTGTTTCTGCAGGCAGCTGCACGCTCTGGGCGGTGCAAGCGCCTGGCCTCTCCTCCCGCTTCCCCTGCTCGCACCGCCTCCGCTGCCTCATTTCCTGCAGCGCAGGCGGAGGAGGAAGGTTTGCTGCGAGCTTGTCCCTGCTCCCCTCCTGCCCGGCCCTGCCCAGCTGCGCCCTGCCCGTCGAGATGCCGGTGAGGAGGCTCTGCCGCGCTCGCACCCGCGCGCTCCGTGCGCTCTGCCTGCCCTAGCTGCTCGGAGAGAGGGCAGAGGGCCCGGGCGAGAGCGGGCAGGCCTGGCAGGGCGGGTGCCACCCGCTGCCGGCTGTCCCAGGGCTGCCACAGCAGGAAGTGGGTTTCACTGCTTGGGCCTGACCTGGGCACTTGCGTGCGGGAGAGACAGGGTGGCAGCTGCAGGGATCCTGGCTAGCAAAGGGACTGCTGTTAATGGGAGGCTGCTGCGAGGCCGGTATCCTCCTCTTCCTCCCGGGAGGGATCCTGCCTGCCTCTCTAGGGTGCAGCTAGCTGTGTGTTTGCAGTTAGGAGAATGACAGTCCCCCCTAACAGCAACATTTCTGGGCACTCCTGGCTTGTTCCAGTGAGAAAGATGGCCTTAAAGATGCACTTTACTATGGGTTAGTTCATCTTCCTCATGTTGAAATAAATTGGTTTCCTGTCAAGTGCTGCTGCCACCCCCCAGATGCACTCGGAGGGCCCCTGCAAAATAACAGCTGTGAAGAGATGGAGGCTTTCTAGTGGCCTGGAACTGTGCAGTGCAAATATTTGGATGGTGCCTTCAGTTAAATTTGTCAAGCTTTAAAAATCTGTTTTCCAGGAAGAACCTTACCATTCACACAAAGATATATATATATGTCACTGACAAATACTGGTTTTAAAGTACATGAGCTGGACTGTTTTGGAATTTTGTTGATAAGCGATCAGCCTGGATTTATTACTATCTACTACTATTAGTCAAACATGGAATAAAATAGAATATTTTTTTAAAGCCCAAGTCACTTAAAAAACTAATTTTCCCTTGCACACTTAATGGAAAGCCTGCTAACTTAGACAGGAGAACAGTAAGCAAGTGCAAGTAGATCTACCACACCAGTTTCATTATATCTTCCACTACTGCTACCATAAACAGTATCTGTGCTGATTCTTTTATGGTTTTTACCGGCATTTCATTGAGAGCTAGATCTAATATGAAATTAGCATCTGTTTGTGCAAAGTGAAATTGCTGGAAGCATCACTGACTGAACGCTGAGCCAGGGACATCCAGGAGACATTAAGACCTGTTTATGTTGCCACGAGGACAATGAAATACCTGTTTTCAGTAAGATTCATAACTAGTCTTCCTTCTGTCCACAGGCCTACCATTCAACTCTAATGGACTCTGACACCAAGTTAATTGGGAACATGGCATTGTTACCCATCAGAAGCCAGTTCAAAGGCCCAGCACCTCGGGAAAGTAAGTTTACAGTAATCTCTGAAATTTTTTTTTCATATTGCTCATAATCACATCAGTTTGTTCAAAGCCAGCTCTAGCACTGCTCCAGTATACTGGGCATTTCAGGTTTATGCTTTTTGTCAGTGGTGCCCAGTAAAATAATTACCATGCAGTAGTTATCTGAAAAAAACAAAAGCTTTGTTCCTTACTCCCCAATTCTCTTGCTGTAGAAGTTAAAAAAAAAAAAAAAAAAAGCATTTTCATGCTTCCTCCTTGGGTTCTCTACAGTCAAGTTTTACTGTGGTTTTCAGTAAGCTTTGAGGTGAACTTGTAACTGGCGTGGACCGTCCGACGTAAGAGGAAGTAGTGGTTGACCTGAAGAGAAGCAGCACTGGGGCTGAAGCTTGAGAGTCCCTGCTGCGCTGCAGGATGGGGAGTTAAGACAGCACTTTAGAGCATGCAGCTTCAGAAACGGAAACTTAAATTCTGGCATCCTGAGTCACTGCAAGTTTTATGGGTAGCCTGAAACAGATTCCATTTCAGCACTTCAAATAGCGCTTCCCAGGCTTATCTCACACTAGTGTGGTGTTGCAGTTGGAAAAAGGAATCATCTCCGGATTTAGGCATTCTTGTGTTTCAGCAAAAGAAGGTGAAAGATCCAAGTGAGCTTCTGACTATATGCTCTTTCCCCCTGCCTTTTTTTTTTTCCCAAAAAGGATAATGAAGATGGTTGGTTGTGGTGTTGTGCTTTCTCCAAAAATATCTGTCTGCCATCAGAAGACTTTCATGGTCATAAATTACTCAAATAGAAGGAAACGATGTGAAATTGATTATTTTTTGCCCTTTGTGAAGTGAGATAATGGGGGAAGAGGAGAGGAAGGGAATTAAAACTCTTGCTAAAAGAAGCTTAAATATTACGGTATGAATTTGCAAGTCTTTCACACTTTCACAATAGTTACAGCATAGTGGTGTTTTCTGCTGTTTGTAAATAGCAAGATAATTGTCTTTGCAAGAATCATTTTTATGTAATTCAATGAAATAAAGCTATGACTGAATGTAGTATGCTGGCCCACTGTTTAAATCCCTATTTCTTTTTTTGCTAGCTAAGGACACAGACATTATAGATGAAGCCATCTACTACTTCAAAGCTAATGTTTTCTTCAAAAATTACGAAATTAAGGTAATTTTTTGAGATATTATACATTCGGAAAGTCTTTGGAGATCTGGTGCTGTGTATATAAATTTATTTGCAATACAACAGTTGCAACAGATAATAAAAACAGCCCTTCCTCTCATTTATTTCTTAAATTTGGATAAATGTCTTGAATTGCTAATTCCTGTCTTGTGAGAAAACTGTAGGCTAAAAATGACTTACTCATTCCTGTTTTGTGTTTTTTTATCAGTTCCAGTCTTCCTAACTCTTAGCAGTACTTGAGAACTGTGCTTGCTTTTATTTTGCAGAATGAGGCTGACAGGACATTGATCTACGTAACTCTCTACATTTCTGAGTGCTTGAAAAAGCTGCAAAAGGTAGGAGAGAGGAATTTGGGTGAAGGACGGAAACTGAATGTGCTCTGGAGACTGTATTTAGGAGAACATTTGATGTTATTCTCCTCCTAGTGGCACAAGTTGTACTGTTCACCTCAGTACCTCTTGTCAGATCCAGAGATATTCCGAAGCTGTGGAATGCCAAAAAAATGTTACATTGCTATCCTTGATGATATTTTTATGTTACAGATTGATTAAATATTTAACTAAAGTTAAATATTGCTTTTGCTCATATCTTTAATCATTTGCCCTTTTTTTTCCCCCCCCAGTGTAACTCCAAAGGGCAAGGAGAGAAAGAGATGTACACGCTAGGAATCACTAACTTCCCGATCCCTGGGGAGCCGGGCTTTCCACTTAATGCCATCTATGCCAAACCTGCCAACAAGCAGGAAGAAGGTAAGAATAAAAAGCACCTCTGAAGGCTTGTGTTGGCGTGATGTTTTGTAGCTATGACTAGAAGTGACCTCTACAACTGCACCTTATAGATCTGTAGCTCTGGCTCTGAGTGCACCATAACCTGAATTTTCTGACCTCGGGCTCAGTGACTCCTCTGAATCTGCAGCTCCAGTAGAACCAGGAAGGAGCAAGTCTGCCTTTTACATCAACATTACTGCTAGCTAAACCCTGTAGCTGAGCCCAAGCGAACTGTTGTGTTGGCAGAACAGGAATCCCACAACAATGAGCAAAGGTTACTAAGAGAACAGTTTAGATGGTCAGCTTTACTGATACAAATACCGTAACAATCCCAAATACGGCTATAATTTGAATAAACATATACAGCCAGCCAGGGTCTGCAGATGTGCAAACATGCAGTGTCTGCTTTAGGCAGTTTTATCAAATGCTTCCCTGTTACCTCAGTTTACACACTATTCTTTGCTTGTGCTGTGTTTCAGAGGTGATGAGGGCCTATTTGCAGCAGCTGAGACAAGAAACTGGTCTTCGTCTTTGTGAAAAAGTATTTGATCCTCAAAGTGACAAGCCAAGTAAGGTAAGAGTTTAATGTGGTATTCACAGAATTAATGAGAGATTTGGTTTTCCTTCCAGAAACATGTGGAGAGAAGTAAGATAAGAGTGAGGGATAAGATGTGGGTAATAATTAGAAAAATTATTTTGTAATACACTAAATTAGAAAATGCATTTTAGGTTTTTTAGAAAGCAAGGAGGTAATATGTGTGTCTGATTAAATTGTTTAGTCTTGTTGTTTGTCTTCTGATTTCATATTTGCTTTTTCAGTGGTGGATCTGCTTTGTGAAGAGACAGTTCATGAACAAGAGTCTGTCAGGACCTGGGCAGTGAAGGACCAAAGCAGCAACAGCATTAGGCATTTCCACAAGGTGTATAAAGTATTTTTGCCTTTATTTCAAATACATTTTGTACCATGCAACAATTAAGTGCTTATGAAGAAAAAATAAATCAGTCAATGAGGAAAAGAGGGAGATGGAAAAAAAAAATCACTTGAGTACTGTAAACAAGTATTATTAAGCTGGTGCTTAATAAATGATTCTAATATGCTGTTTCAGCTGCTTTATTGTCAGTGGCTACAGCTAGCATTTAAATAAGGGCTTCTGCCTAAAAAGAGGAGATGTGTACAGGGCTATGGAATTGCTCTACTGGCTAGAGTTTCGTTATCATGTGTCCCTAAAAAAGGTGCCTCTCATGCTTTGTTGTCAAGTGCAGTGATTTTTATTCCTCCCCCCCCCCAATAAACTTAGCTTGTAATTAGTGTGGTAATTGCTTCATGTCTTCAAAGAAATCCAAGTTCTGTCTTTGTGAAAACCCTTCATTACTGTGTAATAGAGAGTAATCAACAGGAAGGAAATCATTCATGTTGGAAACAAGGCATTAATACCAGGACTGTAGTCTGCAGCAGTCTGCAGTCCTTGATTTTTATACAGGTCTTCCTTTGCAGAACAGCACTGGATTGCAGGAAAAAAAAAAAAAAAAAAAAAAAAAAAACCTTCAAATGAACAGATTATGTCTACCTTAGTCCAAGCTGCCTTTGCAAAGGTAGGTTTAGTCAAATCCAACCATAGTATGATCCTGGCAAAAACTGAGTTTTTTTGGATCAACCAAATGATTTATTGAAAAAGTATGAATCTGAGCTCAGCATGCTCTCCTGGGCCATTCCTTTCCTTCCTGGTAACATCTACTTCATTCTCTCCCTGTGTTTTTTTTTTTTTTTTTTTTTTTGGTATTACTACCACCAAACCTCACATGGAGCAAGGCTTTTATGCCTGTCCCCTTTAAGAACTCTACTCTTCCTCACTAAGCTACTATAGCAGCACATTTTAGGAAAAACAAATACTTCCACTCGTTTCAATGGGAGTGGTAGTAACAGGGCTGTTATATTTTGCATTCTCTTTTTTGCAGTAAATAATAAAGGAGAGAAAAATAGCAATTTGGTTAAGTATGCAAAAAAAAAGAAAAAAGTGACAGGACTGAAGTGATGCTGTGTGACAGTTCAACCCTATTACTGCAGTGAAGAGCCAGTTTTCCTTTTGGTTTACACTTAGTAGCTAATGAAGGCCCCAGTGAGGTCTCTCCTCTAATCGCAACCCCTAAGGAACCTGCCAGGACTCCCGGCCTGGACAGTTAAACTGCACACTTCCCAAGATCTTTCTCCTTAGTTACCTATTTCTATAAGCAGGTTCTTCACGATCTCCGAGACCTCTGTCACGCTTAGCTGCCGCGGCCAGTTGGTTTAACAGGCTCAGGAGGAAGCGCTCTAGCCACAAGAGCTACGCAGAGGCGGTACGACAGTCCGGCAAGCGAGGCCCGACCGCGGAG